CACTCTGGTCTTACCTGACAGGAGGAAAACATCTGAGGAGGTAAGACTTTATCTGATATGTTTAAATATTTAAAACTGTATTGTGAGTTACAGCTATTTTTCTGAATGCATAAACGTACATAGATGTATGCTTCCAAATGTGGAGGCTCTTGATTACACAATTTCTATTTTTAAATCTTAAAAATAAAAAACAAATTTAATCAAAACTACCCAGTGAAACTGGATTACAAATGTTCCAACAAAGTGGTAAAAAGTTGATAGGACAAACATTTTACTCTTTTTCTTTTCTTTTTTTTTGTTGTCATATGTTAATGCCAGAATATAATTTGAATATTTAATTAGCTTTTTAAATTTTATTTTTTTATTTTTTTATTAGCTGTTTTAAAATGTCTGTGCAAATCAAACGTAGGCAGCTCTGCGCATCGCAATTTAAATAATAGTATTTGTGTTTTGGACATCATTTATAATACAACTTAGATCACTAAATCATTTTATTTTTTATGGCAAATACGGCTTCTAAATCTCAATTAGTGTTCTGGATGTTTATCTTGTTTATATTTAACTCACATTGTAAATGTTTTTTTTGACAACCAGAACATCAGTCTGGCCAACATGTTGCCTTATTGATAACAACCAGTAAATAAAATCAACTACATCATACAACATGAACAATTAAACCATAAATTAATTGTCCATTCTTGTATATAATTATGGATAAATTCATATGTAACTGTACTGTAACATTGATACACATGTTGAACTATATGCCTTGACTTTGTTGTTTTTATCAACAAATGTTTTGCTGTTGGAAGATAAGACATGAGTGATTCAGCACTCAGGTGCAACACACAAACCCGTCCTTTATGATGTTCAGAGTGATTATTTAGTTTTCCAGTGGGGAGCTTGCCTGATTCTTTTAGTAAGGTCATAGATCGTACAAATGTTTTATTTGTATGTTTGTGGTATTAGAGTCAGGGTTTATACACCCAATTGCCATAATAATATTGGTAGCAACCTTTGTGTAGAAAGCAATGTCTGAAGTTGTATTGATATATATTGGAAGCACTGTGCCTTTCTATTTGATGGTGTGCAATCTCGGATTGAGCAATTTGTTTAACTTTAATACAGTCTAACTGCTTTTTATATTGCTTTGCATTCCTTTACTTGTCATGTGCAGTGTCAATTTACTGAACCTTTGCATACAGTCACATACTTACTGTTACTTAATTCTACTCATATTTGATAAACTGATAATGCCATTTGTTACTTCTTGTGTGGAAGATGCGAGTTTAATACAAATGTTTTGAGATTGCGTTGTATATCTTTTGGGGGTGTCTTATAAGGAACTTCAGGTTGAAGCACAACTTGTTAAAAAAAAAAAAAAAAAACTGTTACTAGAAGCTATCACTGTCCATGGTCCTGAATCATTTCACATCAGCTCTTTCATCCATCCATCCATTATCTTTTACCCACTTTATCCTTTAATGGTTATGGGGGTCAGTGGTACCCATGTCCAGCAATCACTATGAGAGGGGCAGGGGACATCCTGGACAGGTCTCCAGTCCACCACAGGGCCACATAGAGATAAATGAGACAAACAACCATTCACTCACTCACTCACTCACTCACTCACTCACAGACACACAGACATAGTTACCAATCAGCCTAACATGCATGTGTTTGGTCTGTGGGAGGAAACTGGAGTACCTGGAGAAAACCCTCGAAGGCTCGGAGAGAACATGCAAACACTACTCAGAAAGGGGTCCTGGACGGGATTTGATTTTGAACCAGTAACCTTCTCAATGGGAGGCAGCAACTCGACCAACTGTGCCACCATGCCACTCTCAATTCTTTCAATACAATTTAATAATCCTGATGCATGCTCAATAATCCAGGTAGACAGATTAAAAAATAAAAATAAAAGTCAGGAGGACCTGACCTTAACTTTATTAGACTATTAAATAATACTGTTAAAAAAAAATAAAAAATAAAAAAAAAAGCTCCGTTTCATTGATATTTTAAAATAAATGTGTCAATAAAGCTGAGTTCAAGTCCAAAGGTTTTATGTTTTTTTATGGACACCATTTGAACTGATTCATTCCAGTTGATTACCCGGTATCTTTTAAAATAAAATATAAAACGTTGCTTCATGTAATTTAAAATTATGTGCAACGTTGTCCTCTTGGTGTCACTGTCATATAAGAAACCCATAAAGGCACGGTCAGACCCCAGAATCGTCCTTTGTTTGGTGGTTCTCTGCAGCGGAAGCAGACGAGATACTAACGGGTGACAGACAAGTCGGATTTATGATCAGAATTTGAAAAAAAAAAAAAAAAAAAAAAAGAATAGGAGGACGGTGCTTGTGTTTGATTAGAAACAATGAGTAGCGGCAGGAGATCTGAATCCATGGATCACCGCTGGGTTGTTTTTCATCTCTGTCTTCTGCTGATTGTCGGAGAGGAGGCTGGGGCTGAACTGAGGTACTCCATTCCAGAGGAGGTGAAAGACGGAACTGTAGTGGGGAACATCGCAAAGGATCTGGGTCTGGACAAGGGATCTTTGATAGATCGTCGTTTCCGTGTTGTGTCTGGATCCAAGGAGGATTTTTTCGAGGTGAACGCGGATAGTGGCGCGTTGCAGGTTCGTAAAAAAATCGACAGAGAGGAGCTTTGTCACGGCAGTGGCGCGTGTCTGATGGAGCTGAAGATCCTTGTGGAGAACCCTTTAGAAATGCATCATGTTGTTATAGAAATCACCGATGTAAACGATCACTCCCCGAATTTCTCTGAAAACGAACAAATGTTTGAAATAGGAGAGCAGTCGTCTGTGGGAACCCGGTTTCAGGTGCACGCAGCCCGTGATCCTGATGCGGGAGCGAACGCCATCCGCACGTACACGTTAACTGCAAACGAGCATTTTGACATAGAGGTAAGCCAAATTGATGAGGACAAAATACCATTTTTAGTGTTGAAGAAGTCTTTAGATAGAGAGGAAAATAATAAGCATTTGTTATTTTTAACAGCAGTAGACGGAGGTAAACCGCCTAAATCTGGAATATTAAATGTTTCTGTTATTGTTCTTGATAACAATGATAATCGCCCAAAGTTCATTAAAGAGATTTACCAAATTGAAATACAAGAAAACGCTTCTATTGGTTCAACTGTTACTAAATTAAGCGCTTTAGATCCAGATGAAGGGACTAACGGGGACATAGAGTACAGTCTCAGCAAAACATTGCCACGTAAAGTTTATAACATATTTAATTTGGATAGAGTGAGTGGAGAAATTACACTGAAAGAACAGCTGGATTATGAGGATTCTGATATTTACAAACTAGACGTCCAGGCGTCTGACAAAGGACAACCTCCACTGATAGGCAGGTGTAGACTTGTTTTAAAGATAAAAGATGTTAACGATAACGCCCCAGATATAGAAGTTACATCTTTATCAAAGACTGTCTCTGAAGATTCAAAACCCGGCACAGTCATCTCACTGATCAGCGTCAGGGATAAAGACTCAGGGGTAAATGGGAAAGTGGTGTTACAAATAAGTAATGATGTGCCTTTTGAATTAAAACCTTCATATAAAGAAAATATATATTCGGTTGTTACCAAGAACATTTTGGACAGAGAAATCAATCCAGAATATAAAATAATCATAAAAGCCACAGACTGTGGGGAACCTCCACTATCTGCTTTGAAATTGCTAAGTATTGAGATTACAGATGTGAATGACAACAGTCCGTGTTTTCCGCAAAACCCTTTACACGTTTATCTGGTGGAGAATAATGTCCCAGGAGCATCAGTATTTTCTGTTAGCGCCACGGACAAAGATGTGAATGAAAATGCAGCAATTTCATATCACTTAGTCAGAGAGAATGACGTCACAGCATTACTAAACATCAATTCTGATAATGGCCAAATATTTGCGATGAAAAGTTTTGACTTTGAGAGTCTGAAAACTTTCCAGTTCCAAGTTGTGGC